TTTGCGGATGTATATCTCCTCCTGAAGCTGATAGATGAGGTTCTCTGTCGTCGAGTAGATCCCACGGTTATAATCCCGTGAGATTTCGCGGTGGAGGGTTGGAAAAGAAACCCTGATTGCGGCTCGGAAGTTACAAATCCGACTCATCGCAGAGTAATCGATCTTCTGGCGCTCCATACGATCCATCAGAAGGCAGTAGCGCGCCACAAAGTCTTCTCCATGATCGGAGTATCGAATCGCAGATAGATCGTCTAGGACCGACGATACCTGGTCGATTGTCATACCAGAAAAGGCACGACGAAGGGCGATCCAGATCATCCCAGGATCACGCAAGCCGGCAATGCGATAACATGCTTCTGGCTTAATATTTTGCGTGATCAAGAGATATACAATCGCCTTTTGCGAGCTTGAAAACGTCTCGCTGGTAGGCTCCTTTTTAGTCTCATCTTTGACCTTCGAAGAAGCCTTGCTCGAATGACCATCTACGTCGATAGCAGAGGTCTTGAGCGAATAAGGGACCTCATCGTCCTTCTCGATGGCCTCTTGGATGAGAGGCCAGAGGTTAACTGCGGTCAGCAGTTGCTCCATGTTTTTAGCCCAATTCTCCCAATTTTCGTGGCCAACAAGCTTCTGAGAGTCCAGAAGCCTGATAATCACCTTGGAGGAGTGCTCGTTCGAGTCAGACATGATGGTGATAAGGGGATACGGTACGTGATAGGTGGCTTCCGACGTCAGGGAGCCTCTGTTATAAAGAACAGATTCGTATTCGGAGAACGGTAGGGGACTGCGACAATGAGGGTAGCTAATCCTCGTGAAGCAGTGAAGAGAGAGATGATCAGCAGCAGAAGATCTGCAAAGGTCGTGATCGAAAGTGAGATGCTACCATGTGAGATTTCAAACCGTTCTGTATTGAAAGGAAAGAGAAGAAGATCTCTGAAGGAGAAGCCCCCATATATACAGGTGTGCCATCAGGGTGACCAGATAATCATACGATAATGGCGCCAGGATCCTGGTGGCCTGAGGGTGGGCTGACTGCCCTGAGGCTAAACCCATTAGCGCATTCAGCCCCAAAAGCCTCAGCCTGGTATGATATCCAACAAAAACACAACACAGAAACAGGTCTACCAGAGCACAGCAGATGGGATCACAGCATACCAATACAGGAAGGACAGCATCCAAAATTCTTCCCGATATACGGACTTCCGATTCGAACAACTGCTGCTCCTACATCAACAACGAACCCTCAGAAGTATATGAACTTCCTCCAGATGCCTTCAATCCACAGCAATCTTGTCCCTCCAGTCGACAATGAGGCACTCAACCGGCATCAGACCCAGAGTGTCCAGCGGTCCCTTGGGGGAGATTTCACTGTTCAAACCCTTTTGGAACAGGACACTGGAGCTTTCAGTCATGGGAAACTATCTAATGACGACCCGGCAAGCATTTTAAGCCAACACAGCGCATTCCTTGGAAATGCTGGCGGTGCGGACTTGGACGACATTACCATCAGCCTTTGCCAAGCCACTGCTTTTACGGAACAACTATCAGCCTGCCATGATATTAATAACACTATGGATATGTGTAGGTAATATACTTATTACGAGAAAGCTTAAACTGATCTTGTCACCCCGTAGCAGGTATTAAAGACTATAACCAGAATTATAGCAGTTCCAACCCCGACGACTTTACCTGGTCCCAAGCCACACCTGCGTCGAGCCTGAACTGCATAAACGATGACGAAGATGCTGAAGCCTGTTCTCTAGCGGCCAACCTAACTGCAGATACACCGGTCACCTCTTTCTCCGAAGGTCCATCTCCTCGACTGTGCCAAAAACCCTTGGCTGCCGACCCTAGTAGTTGTGCTCTAATGCCGAACGCCAATGCTTCCGAGCATGTTTTTGACGACATTTCCCGACCGCGCAAAAGTTCTCGTGACAACCGTCTAGAATCTGATCTGGATAGGTCCTCTAATAACCTTGCCTTGAACCCTGGTCAGACAAAAGAATACATTGAAGGTCCCAAAACTCACCCTTGGGCTGAATCATCTGTGGATCTACCAACGGTTCCCTCCCCTATTACAGAAAGGGCAACACCGACAAGAAGCTTGTGCTTGCTGCCTTCTCGAATGCCAGCTGGCAAGCTGGGCGGGTCGATTCCTCATCATGGCCCCAGCCAAACCAAGCGGTCATCCGGTGCTCGAAAGCGGCGTGCAGAAAGTCCGCCCGTAAACCTATCGATAGAGAAGCGACGAGCCAGTCGACGATCCCTCCATGAACGAACCAAGCAGAGAACGCCTATCTCGAAGGGTGTAGCAGACACCAAGCGAGTTCAGCCATGTGAAGTTCAAAGCCAAAATCGACAATAAGAGAACCTTCATGCGAGTACTCGAAGTAGTGGCAGGCCTGGTCACAAAGTACCGGGCTCAAGAGAACTTGCCTCTCCTACTGTTGCAGTCCCAGAACCATTTGCGGCAAGTTGTAACACTTGTGGCTTTTCTGCTGGACATATCCTTGAATTATGCAATTTGGTTGAAGCTATACATAAAACAGAGAACAGTATGACCATAATGCAGCTATTTCTTGGTTTCCTTTGCAACTATGCCACCCAGACCCTTGCCGCCCAAGGCGGGCAGGCTGAAGATCATAACCGCTACCACAACGGCGTAGCTCGCAGCCCCTCCGTCGTCACTTTAATGACGCCAGTACCTGAAAACAGCATTCAAAACGGACAATTTGAAAGCATCAAGAGTAATAGCGATACAGAAAGCCAGACAGGTAGCTATGACTCTATCCCAGACCAAAGTGCCGGTTCAGGAGAAGAGGAGAACACAGCGGTCAAGAGAAGTCGATAGACAGAACTTAAAGAACGACAACTACGGGGCTGGGTAATAGAAGAAAAGGGATGGCCATGGATTGCGGCACAGGTTGGGCCGAAGCAAGGGGGCTGTCTCACAGCATTGGGCCATTATGTTAAAGCAAGGCTGGGAGGTATAACAGGGTGAACAGTGTCTTGTTAAAGGCTTGTTCATAAGGCATTTCATATGTCTTTGTTGCATTTTCTTGTAGTTTAAAGGGCGCTTTTGTTTGATAGATATTGGCGTTATGCAGTGTGTATTCCATGTTATACAGGTTTAATCAGCGTGGCTTTATTGGGAAAGACAAGTCAGTAGATTGATGTCATAGGCCATATGGCAGGCCCTGGCAGAACAAGACCGGCAGAAAGGATACATACGGTCGTCATGCCGGCAGAATAAGATGGGCAGAATCGGCACGTACCTACGGCTAGGTTTGGCAGAAAAGATACGTATTTGTCTGTCAGCGCAGATTCTACAACATAAGCAGAATATCGCAAATCTGTGCACTACCTTAGCTGAGGGGAAGCCTATTCCTTTGGCTTTACTACCTGCCTTCGACCCGCCGCTACTCATTTAATCATAATCACCTTTCTCATATAACCGTTGTGCTTCCAGTTGGCAGGTAGGTTTTCAGATCAGCCGGTCTTGTTAACATGTTTTTATTTTGGTTATAAGCTCTTTTGCTCTTTTCCTCCCTTAATGTTACAAGTACTAACTGGATGTGCGGATAGAGACTTGGCTCCAAATGTCCTTCTCTATCAAAGTCGATCCACGCAACACGTTACCTACGGACCTGTCTTCCGACACCCTCGATACTACCGCTGTCTACATTACATCCACAATTCCGCTACTGTTTGATATAAACACTGCTGGCTATCAAACGGCAAGAGTTAAGGTCGCCGCTTTGGCTTGCTGTTTGAACTGTGGCATTAAGTACGACCCAGCACGCAGCCCTTGATAGCATCATTTCCTATACGCCAACGACGATGGGACCGTCAGTCCATACGATAGTACCCGCCACGACCATATTGCCATACGCGAGATCCTGCAGAACATTTGATCGACAGCAGTTACCTTCCGCGATGGGCTTGCGGATGACGTTGTCCCTCAGCTGCTGGCCAGGCTGCTGATGGCATTCGAAGCCCAGGAGGTTGGCATGGACGAGGTAATGGCATTGGCTGCTTCATCGTTTTGGGACGAGACAGAATGGGTCTCGCAAGAGACGGCCCGTCACCCTGGCTGTAACTGGATCACCTGGTGGATCATGGACAACGACAGTAGCGATCCTACAGCAGATGTCAGCATTTAAATGATGGCATGCGTGACATGGAATGGTGACAGCAACGGAGTAAAATGTTTTAACAAACGCGGTGCTCTTCACATCATCAAATACTGCGCCCTGTAAACCGGCCTAAAAGTCAAGAGGTCGACAGGCAGGAAGGGAAAAGGTGCCATTGTCGCCTATGCTGTTTTAAACGTTAAGCACAAACAGCTCGCAAGCCGCTCGTTTTAAACACGCACTGTAATACTTATTTATGTATAATGTTATGGTCGTTTTCCTTGCTTCCCGACTATCTGACACTTTTTATTAAGGAAATCGAGTTGCTAAACTCAGAAACAGTCACTGCTCAAAAATCTCAGCGATTCTATTGTGCCCATTCTTTCTCGCTACCATGAGAGCAGTGTCCCCTGGGTCGTAAGACGGCCGAGTATAAGGTGCATTTCGGATAATTGTTTCTGAGATAATACTGACTTTGTTTGTGGTCAGGAATAGGCGGACTACCTGTTCATGACCATGTGCCGCTGCGATCCACAATGGTGTCATACCCTATATGTTCTGTGTATCTGGTGGTGTTCCGATCTGGAGAAACTTTTTCATTGTGATTGTGGTTCCTGATGCCGCCGTGTTATATAGTCTGGCAATGATAAAGTCCTCCTCTTAAACAGTGACGATGCAGGCTTGGCGGGACAGGAAGCGAAGAATGTCGAGTTGGCCACAAGCAGCAGCAATACATAAAACAGCACTAGAGATAAAGGATCTGGTTGGTAGGCTTCGGTAAAGGAGCAGCGCCATCACCTCCTTGCCATTGCCTGCGTTCCCTGCTGCCGCCTTGACCACTTCCTCTGTGATGGGGACCTTGTCTCCTCATCGGTCAAGAAGCAGCGACATCACCTCCTTGACATTACCTCTGTTCCTTGCTGCCACCTTGACCACTTCTTCTGTGATGGGGACCTCATCTCCTCGCCGGTCAAGGAGCAGCGCTATCACCTCCTTGCCATTACCTCTGTTCCTTGCTGCCGCCTTGACCACTTCTTCTGTGATGGGGACCTCATCTCCTCGCCGGTCAAGGAGCAGCGCTATCACCTCCATGCCATTCCTGACATTGCCTGCTGCGGCCTTGACCACTTTCATAGTCATGTATGCTCCATACCCCAACAATTCTGTGAGTACAATCTTGTTCCCACCAATGGCTGCCGCACTCAGTGGAGTTACATCGTTACTATCTGCTGACTCTAACAGTCCATCAATATGTGAAGCCATCTTCCGGTGTGGACTATAACAAAAGTAGTCCAGAATCGCTGGGATGCTACAGTATCCTGCGATATGTAAGATTGAGGCTTGTCTTGGGAGATACACGCCACAAATGTGGCCTGCACGGTCTCTGTTAAGCCAAGCGTCTCTAGATAGAGACATGACTTCGAAAAAAGTCGCTTGCGGTTATTTGACTTCGAATACGTCTCCTGCGAGGCGAGCGTGCAAGTCCGAGTAATCAGATGCATAAGGTGAGAACTCTTCTTCCCACTGTGGTCGATCCTTAACCAGCTCAGAATCTCGGATAAGCTGATCTACGCACTTGTATGTCATGTCCGCATGGAAATACACTTCCTGGACCCACTGTTGCGCATTGTCGCCGGCGAGGAAATCCTTTACCGACTGGTGCAGCAGGAGAACCTGCTCATCCTGAATGATGACCAGAAGCCGGCAGGTGGTAATATCATCTCGAGTGAACTGAATGCGTGTCTCTTTGTCCTTGTCAAGGTAAGTTTGGCAAACTGCAGATAACTCGGAGATGGTAAGTGGCCCGAATGATACCGTGACAAGTCCTAGAATTTGATTAATGACTTTGGGGCTTTGCCCGGGAGCGTTAAGAGCTTTGTCAAGTAGTCTCTTGTACAAGGGATTAAGCCCAGACGGCATCTTCTCCAGGTGGTTGACCGCATTTTTAGACGGAATCTGATCTAGCTCTTCGCATCCCAAGCCGACCTATAGGAATGTGCTCTCGGATTTTTGCTCCAGAATGTCTGTGATCCGTTTTTTCACCCGGTTCGTGTACTGCTTTCTGACTGCAAGTTCTGCAACCTTCTCACCAATGAAGCGATGTATGTCCCTTTCGACTCGGGAAATGAGGCTAGGTCCTTGTTAGAAAACACCTTTAGACGTTCTTGGATCTCAGGGTAAGTTTGGCTTGTGATAATTAGCCGGATGTCGGTTGCAGAGCTCTTATATTGGAAATCCTGCTGCAGTTGCTTAATGAGAATCTGCTGCGATTCTGGATCACACTCATCCAAGGCATCGATGATAAAGAATTTATGGCCGGTGGCTTCATCCGCGGCCATTCTGTACAAAATAGTCCACAAAGCGTCGAATGAATCAAAGATCTTCTTTCCGCGCTTGTGGTATTTTGGTAGGAGGTAGTCGAGGAGAAGTCGCAGATGTTGTCGAATGAGCTGCAGGATAAGCCCTCGGACCACTGATGTCACTGACCTACGAGTGTCGAAACTAGAATTGTAGAAGAAATAGAAAATGGTTTTCTGGTCTGAGTGGCGGAACTTCTCTCAGAGTACCTTGGCAAGGTAAAGGGCCATAGTGGACTTCCCAGGCCCTGGGTTCCCATGCAGCCAGAGAACATTGGTCGATATCACTGCATGCTCAAGGCCGAGCTAGGAAGCGAGCTCTTCTGTCTCGAGTATCCATTCGCAAATGCCTTTGGCGCGGTCACCTTTCTTGTGTTGCAGAGATTTCATATCTTCGAAAGGATCCGTCTCGAAAAGATCGGAGTGACATTTTTTGGCTTGTGGACTTTCGGCCAGAACATCTTTTATACCAGTTAGCTAGGCCGTTTTATCTGAGCCAAAGGGCCGACTCACCTTCTAATTTGGTATCTACTGCGTGTGATTATTATTAGCAAAAGAGCAAGGGGAGATAAGAAGGTATTTCTCTGGGGAGAAACTATGACGTATTATCACGAAAACTTCTCGCCACACAAGGTACATCTTTGGCCACAATCGTCTCGAGCCTTTGCCGCACAACGAGATACATGCCACGGATGTTTGAGTCATATTTTACAAGCCCTGAGTGATCAGTGTCTAGGCTGACATTGTCTTTATCAGCTTCCGCGGTCAAGCCTGTGCTTGTAGCGGACTTCTTTGTTACCAGCAGCATCTGTGGACCGGTTTTCGTAATGCCCCCATCAGCCTGCATCTGGATGACTTTGAGCATTTTACTAGTAGTGATAACTATGTGGATCTTACCTGCATAGTCGGGGTGTACTTTGTCTCGAAAAAAGAGATAACTCGGTACTTTCCTTTACATTGGTTGGAAAAGTTACCAGAAATCCTTGCCAGATAATCGGAGGGCTCGGAATCGCGATCAACGATCAGTGCGTGAATTAGCCTCTTGTTGGGTCGGCCATGAACAAGACTCTGTAGCTGCTGATTTCAGAGCCCGAGATTTGGAACACCAAAAAAGAGTGATCCACAGCATGCGTGGGTCAGTTTGAGATTGGCTTGCACGGACGATTTCTTCTGACTATATACTAATGCCTTGTCACAATTAGCCAGGCGATCGGGCGTACCGTAACAATCGGCTTACTTCCTTAATGAGAAGACCACCCAGGCTGTGTCCGATAAAAATGATGGGACGGTTGGTACTCTGCCTTGAGATGAGCCCTATGCCGCAGATCTGGGCTTGGAGACATATACCTTGCTATTGCTTCAGAATGCCAAGAGTCCATTGAGAAAATATGACCCCATGTCCTCGATCGACTTCCTGGAATTGCTCTTTAATAACTTCATATCATAGCCGTAGATAAGCACTCGCGCATTGGGTATATCCGCGGGCAGGTAATCTTGCAGCTAGATGTCGTCGCTGCTAGGAGACTTCCACGACCCAAACGCGTGGCTTGCAAGGCCGGGCACTGTAATGATGCTAGTGGTGAGACACGACAAGTAAGCAATTGAAACAGCAGTCAAGTGAGTAGTCTCACTCAATGTCGACTCGGGTTACGCCCGTATAAAGCGGTGTGATACCGTAAAAGTCTGAGTCGTACTTGTACTTCCGCTCTCCGTTGGCCTGTTGTAGGCAGCGCACCAACTCGATCTCTGTGATTGATGTGTGGAAAGTGGCAGTAGTGCAGGCCCAACGGCTGTCCCTAGGGGCTAGAGTGATACGGCTGACGCTGCGAACAGTGTCCCGCAAGCCTGGGGCTTGTGTAATTATCGCCCTCAGTTCGCTGTCTAGGGCTGCATCGGATGTGTCGATTGGGATTTTGTCGATGCGCAGAGTCAGATATTAGAAAGGTCTTTCTGTAGGCAGTATCTCCTTAAAAAACCACATGTAGCGTTAAAAGGCCAAAATTAGGAGGATGGCGATAGCAGCCACTGCGAGAGGCCAGGCGCGCCCAGCCAGAACATCTAGTCGGTCAAGGACGCCAACCATGATGGCAATCTGTGCAGAACAACGTGTGGGGCGGGCGGTGACCGAAGCTGCCTCGGTCGGTAGGTTCAATGGTATGAAGACGCAACAAGCAATAATAGAGAGAGAGAGATTTGCTGATACTAAAGACAGAAAGGCTATGACTAGAAAGCCAGGGGGGGTAAGGGGTAGGCAAGCATAGGTAAGCATGTTCGCGCTCTGCTTTGGGGGCTGCATCTTGATACGTCTATATAAGCGGCTGAACAGGGCCAATATGTGACCTATTATCCAGCATAGCCTATGAGGCTTTCTCACCTTTCGTACCGGCCGGTGCACTAGGGCTCTTGTCTGGCATGGGCCTGTATAGTTATCGGATGGCAACTATTAGATTATGAGTACGAGGTAAGCCAAGCCGTTTATCAACTTGAGAGGCAGATCCCAGAACCGGCTATGCATTATATATGTGCACCTGTTTCAACTAGTGTGAGATCGTAGATATCACGGTTTAGTGGTATATGCTGTCGTTGCTCAAGAAAGATCAAAATACAATGAGGACGCGTAAGCAGAGGACAGCGCCAAGGTATGTTCGGCGCATGTACCCCTAATCGCTTTCACCGGGTTAAGATCCCAGAACCGGCTATGCATTATATATGTGCACCTGTTTCAACTAGTGTGAGATCACAGATTTCCCGGTTCAGTGGTACATGCTGTTTGCAGAAAGGGATGTCGCGCAAGAAAGATCGAAATATAATGAAACTCTGAACAACCCGAGTCTTCCCCATCTAGGCACGTATCGAGAACAGTACAAGTCTGGCCCAGTCATGTCATCTCGGACTAATGGGATCTGGACCCTTTAGAGACGCGAAGAGTTATTCAATTTGAAGAAGCTTGGTGTCGATCGATCAAGGCAGAGTATGTTGCTGTGAGATTGGTGAGGGGTAAGGGTTAGGCAGAGAGGGCAAGCAGCACCCCGGGTAAGAAAAAAGAAACATTCCCAAGGCTAAGACAGCCTTATAAGCAGTCCCATCTTTATAAAACCTAAGCCTGTTTAAAGCAATGACCTTGCGGTATCGGTACAGTATGTATTCAAAGACGAGGGTCACCCCAGAGTATATAAGCAAAGAGTTTCAAGTCTGAACCCGACCAGGCCTTACCTATTACCCCCAGGGTCTAGGTACTCCGTTCTGCAGCAATAATGTGCCCACCACCCGCTGCCGGGCCGCCCTTTGCATCAAAGCACCAGCTGAACTGGGACCTGGACAACAACAGACCTCTCACCCAATGTTTGCCCAGCTACCCTTGTATCCTGCTCTAGGATCGACGCAAGCTGTGGGAGTTCCTCGACCGGGAATTCTGCTCAAAGGACATAAACCAGATGGCAAGCAGGCTGTGGTAGATATCAAAACAAGACAGCGCCAACATCTCCCCGCTCCACCGGCAACTGATTAAACAGCGCACTGTCATCGTCACTGAGTATCCCAAGCTGCATCTAGTCTGGATTCACAACCGAATCTTCATCAAGCTGCTGCCCCGATACATCGTCTCGTATGTATTCTGGCGGGACTATATGAGTGGCGATGGGAAAGATGCCTACGATATCCGTAGGGCAGCCTTGGGCTATCTCCATATATGGCTGTACTTAGTGAGGTACAAATCCGACTTTTGCATTGCCTAAGACCCTAGCCTGTACCTTATCCCGCCCGACATCACATGGGACCAGTTCTGTCGTTTTGTATCCGACCTGACCACGATTATTGATTACGACGTCCCTACATGCTATACCTATGGCGAGATTTGATTAATGAGGCTTAATTTCTACGCTCCATTCCTACTTCAAAAGGCGTACTTCTAGCGTGTTAATTATTAATATGGGACATACTTTGTGCGGTTTTATGGGCCGGTTTTATTTGTTATTAGCGCGGTGTCCCTTATTCTGAGTGGACTACAGGTTGCCGTTACTGTCAATCAAGGTCATCCCAACAAGGAGAATAATCCGTTGCTCTCAACTGTGGCTTTCTGGGCTAGTATAACCATGATTTTATGCAGCTGTGGTATGCTTATGTATCTATGCACTCTCCTTGTATATAAAGTGGGAAAGGAGTGGAAATTTGCGATTTGAGACCGGCTTCAGTTGCTAGAGGAGGGACGAGCAAAGCGTCCAGGATAGTTGATACAGATGGATGCGACCACACGGGGCCATGGCGTATCGACGACGTTGTCAAATACAGCGCTAATTTCAGGGCAGATAGGCGGCATGATCTAGGCGGACAGTGTCAAAGCTAGCTAGCCTCCCCAATGGATCGTCTGGGGAAGCGGGGTTAGTACAGACAAACCCGAGAGCCCCTAAGATTGTTGGCGCTTAACAGATAGTTGGTGCTGACCTGTAGGATGTGGCTGCAGTGCTGAGCTCAATCGGCATCTAGGCGGTTCTTGCAGCGGTTGCCAGCCTAATCTCCCGTCGTTTCGTGAGACGCACTTGACAACCTGACTAATCTGAATGCGTTTGCACCTGTCAGAAACAGCTGCTGATGCTCCCGCTGATGGACCGCAACTAAGCTGCAACGGGTTCTAGAGCGGCTGGCCATGCCAGAACCAGAGGCTCTGCTCGGAAATTGCTGCTTGTTATGCTATCCCACCATGCTGCTTTGGGATCACACGGCGACCTTTTTACCATCCAAGGCAGTTCCTGGTGCGGTTTCTGAAAGACTGGCAGCAGCCCAGTATGATATCTTTCTCGTCTCGAGGCCCATAGCGAGCCGGTTGAGCTGGGTCCAGAACGCCTCGTAGAACCGCCATCAGCACAGCCCGCTGCTTGCGGCTTACCACACCGGCTTTTCTGCAACGGTTATTCGTCCATACAACAGGGTATCGGACGCATTCCAGCCTAGCCTGCAGGCCAGCCCGCTTCTGGAGCGTGCCTGTGCCTCTCGGCTGCGCAACTCTGAAGGAAGCCAGCACAGCTCACGTAGCCTCTCTCGGGCGCGCAAACACCAGACTCGTGTTTTTTAAGAGCAAATGTCAGGTCTTCCATAATGGCAAATGACGGCCTAGATCCATCCATAGACCAAGGCGGATCGTTCTACAGCGGGAATGTCACCGTGCATGGAGGACCCTTCCACCAAGGCAATATCGTCAACATCCAGCAGACGGCCAACCAATGCCTCATCGACCTCTGCGTCACTGACCCACGCCATAACAAGAAGCGCGTTCAAGACACCAAGGGCGGCCTGCTCGCGGACTTGTACGTCTGGGTGCTCGGCAACCCTAACTTTCGCCAATGGCGCGACCACGAGGACCAGCGGCTGCTCTGGGTCAAGGGCGACCCGGGAAAGGGCAAGACCATGCTTCTGTGTGGCATTGTCGATCATCTCGAAACGAGGCTCGCCCAAGGAAGCCGCCTAATGTACTTCTTTTGCCAAGCTACCATTGAGCGCATTAACATCGCGACGGCCGTCCTGTGCGGTCTTATCTTCATGCTTCTTGACCAAGACGCCTTCCTCGCATTGCATATAAAGAAGAAGTACGATGTCGCTGGCAAGGGGCTGTTCTAGGGCGATAATACTTGGTATGCATTATCCGAGATCTTTACGGACATGCTCCGTAACCCGAAGCTGCAGGGCGTCTGTCTCATTGTCGACGCACTGGACGAGTGTATAGGTGGCCTACCGCAGCTGCTTGAGTTGATTATCGAAACCTCGCAAGCAACATGTGCTAAGTGGCTCGTCTCAAGCCGCAACTGGCCGAAGATTAAAGAAGAGCTGTCCAACATGGCGCACAGGCTATCACTCGAAGTCAATACAAAGTCGGTCGTGGCGGCTGTGGACAGCTATATCTCGCACAAGGTGTCCCAACTTGTATAACGGAAGAGCTATCGAGACAACACCGCCGACCAAGTACGCCGGTACTTGTTGTCAAACACTAACGGCACTTTTCTCTGGGTCGCCTTGGTCTGCCAGGAACTTGCAAAGACACGCCGAGGGAATGCTTTACAGAAAGTCAAGTCTTTCCCATCGGGTCTTGATTCCCTCTATCGCGGATAATACAACAAGTCCGCGCATCAGACAACGCCGAGCTTGTATGCAGGTGCTTGCTCTCGTAACAACGACCTATTGCCCACCCTTGCTTGCCAAGTCCACCATGTTCATTAAAGAAGACAGCAGCACAGTGAGAGATACCGGATCGCTGAAAGAGATTATCAGTCTTTGCGGCTTGTTCCTCACTATACGTGAGGACATAGTCTACTTCGTCCACCAGTCGGCAAAGGACTTTTTAATGAAAGAGGAAACGGTCATCCTTTCCGCCGAACAGTAAGTAGCCGTCCATGGCCAAATCTTCTTCAGGTCAATCGAGGCCATATCCCAGACACTGAAACGTGACATATACAGACTGCACGACCTGGGCTTCCTTATTGAGGATGTCCCTCGACAGAGACCTGACCCAGACCCACTGGCGGCGATAGGATACTCCTATGTCTATTGGGTCAACCACTTGATTGATGCCAGCAAGGCTCCGGGTATGGACAGCGTACAAGAGTACAGGGCGGCAGACAGGTTCCAGCAGGGAAAGGGTCTCTACTGGATCGAGTCGTTGAGTTTACTCCGGAGCATGTCGGAAGGGATGCTCGCATTAGACAGGCTGATACGGCATTTGCAGGTAAGTCAATACTGTCTGTTACACGGCCTTGCAGAGCTAATAGTATAAAGGGGCTGTCGGGGGCGTCTGGACTTCAGGCGCTTGTGAAAGACGCCTACTGTCTGTTACAAACCTTCAGGCCGGCAATCGAGAGCCGACCGCTTCAAGCGTATATCTCACTATTCGTATTCAGTCCAATACAGAGCTTAATGCGAGGTCTATCTGCGCACAAGGCACCGCGATGGGTCGAGTGTAAAACAGAGTTAGCGAAACAATGGAGCGCGTGCGAGGCGATCCTCGAGGGCCACACTGATGTCGTCAACTTGGCGGCCTTCTCGGCCGACGGGCGGGACGTCGTCGAGGCGTCGAGGAACCAGACCGTTCGGCTCTGGGACGCGGCCTCGGGCGCGTGCCTTTCTTCGTATGAGGTCGGTTACACCTCCACCGTCTCGTTTGATCCGACCGGCACCCTGGTCCACACCGACGCGGGCAACATTTGTATAGAGGATTCGATTTCTTTGGATATCGATACGCATCCCCAAAAGCCTGCGCAACAGAAAGACTACATTCTCAGTCCCGATGGGGCTTGGATTCTACAGCATTCCAGGGAGCGCCTCTGGCTCCCTCCCGAGTACCGGCCAAACATGCTCTTTCACGAGTACCGGCCAAACATGCTCTTTCACGAGTACCGGCTAAACGTGTCTGCCGTGTTTACAACAGAGCAAGGCACGAACCTTGTTCTCGGTTGCTCGTCCGGTCGGGTCTATAACCTTCATTTGTCACGTTTCTGAAACCTTTTTGATCCGTTCAAAGCTCTCGTCTTTTTTCACTTTCTCTGCAAAACGACGGTCCTTGGGGGCATGATGAATTTATAAGGCTCCTCGCATCGTTGTAGCGGAACATTCGAGAGTGACGACCCTCTGTGGATTGTTAGCAAAGGATCGCGTGCCTTCCATGGGCACAAATGCGATCGAACTCTGTAAAAGACTCCCATGGATTGTGTAGGGCCTTCCAATTATGGTGAACAACTGAAGATACGTTCAGGATCCGGGTTGGCATCGTTGAACGCGAAACTGGCAATCTGATCATCATAGACCAATCAAGCGGAGAGTTTTAGTAAGTTCCTTACTGTGTGACCTCTACGGACTGCGCAATGCCACGCGATGGGCAGGTCCTTCTGTAGCGCAAGGTATCGCTTTATGGAACAGAGAATCTTGGTACCTATCCTTGTTCCGATGCACACCATACAAAATCTAACGGGCCCTTAACGTCCAGGTCGCCCCGTCGACAGCCAATCTCTCGAAGCCACCGCCAACCGGGCTGCTCCAGCCATCCGACGCGCTTTGCACCGTGGGGTAGATGCTTGCGCTGTCCTGCTTAGTCATCCACCAAAGCCTGTCAGCCATCTTGTCTAGATCGTCCGAGCAGAATTCCTCGTCGAGAAAACCCCGGATGCGGTGCCAGTCGTCCAGCGCGATGTGGGGATACCCTGACAAATGGTGGACAGGACGGGACGAGCCTAGGTCCTTATATAGGTCCAACTTTAACTGGTGCTCGACACAGAACGGCGGCAACAGCTGCGAAGAAGCCATGGCAGCGGACAGAAAGAAAGGCATGCTGACAGGGGAATTCATACTAGCAGCCGAATGAAAGCCTCTTCTTATTCTGGCGATAGGACGCGGCTCCCTACAATCGTCGCATCCAGGCATTGCTGATGTCGGACGCATGTCAGCCCAGCCGGCGGGTCAGCTCCTTGGCGCCTCTTGGCTATATAGGATCACCTTTGTTCTCCAATACTTATGTCTCTGCTGAATCTTGTTACGCGACGCAAATGTCCTCGAGAATCAACGCCATGGAACTTCCCCCCCAGCTCCTTGTTGGGACGAGCGTGGTGGCTCTCCTGGCCACTTGCCTCTTCCAGCTGTTTTGGGGAGCACGTCCCCCACAGCAGAGACCTGAGCCAGGCAGCGACACACTCGGCCAGCGGCGTTTCCGCGAATTGACGCTACGCATGGACGAGGTCCCTACGGGAACAACTACTACCGAGCTAGAACGTGAGCTGCAGTCGATCATTGCTGCAAGTCCGGATTTACAAGGTCAGCTCGATAGCTTGGTCGTGCGCTCCCTTGCGTCGAGAGACCGCACTTGCGCCTGCGCAACTGCGACGGTCAAGACGCGGCTTTTAGAGGACCAGCTGCTGGCTCGCCTCCAGCATGCTCCTAAAGCGTCCCCGTACCGCTTCGACTGCACGTTCTACGGCATCACGTCGCTCTATAAAGACCTAGCCGGCGCCTACTGCGAGTATGCACCTCGCTTCCCACCCAGCGTCGTCCTTCTAGCTGATCATCCTATATGTTCGCAGTATAATTGCCGTGCCGGGCCTGGCAAGCCACGCGATCAGCTTGTGAAAATCGCCGGGTAGGAACAATCTCTGGCTACGCGATTGGCTCTCAGGCGACATCCCAAATATCCGTGTACTCCTGTACGGATATGACACGATATTGCTAAAGAGCAACGCCAAGTCCTCCATAAAAGACTTGGGCCAGCAGTTTCTTGAAAGCCTAACGGCATTCTGGACGAGCGACGAGGTGGGTTCGTCGTCCGCTGACACGGGACTGGCTAACAACGCCGCAGACTGAGCGTTGTCCGATTATCCTACTAGGCCACAGTCTGGGTGGCCTTCTTATTAAAGAGGCAGGTTTGCCAGGTCCCTTGTGCCGGTCAATGCTGACCTGTCGCAGGCACTCGTCCACGCTTCTAGGAGCCCCGCTAGCAGCCCGACGCACTGGCTCCTCTCACAAACCTCCTGCGGCCTGCTGTTTTTCGGGGTGCCGCAGCTAGGTCTGCGTAACGAGAAGCTCGCCTCTGTGGTAAGAGGGTGGCCAAATCAGGCTCTTATTTGCGCTCTGGTCGTGAATAACGAGTCGGAACCGTCCGACTTCCTGGCCCGCATAGCGGACGACTTTGCGCGGTATTTCCAAAACCAGCTGTGCATAGTTGCTTTCTACGAGCGCCGGCTGAGCGCGACTATTGCAGTACGTCTCGCCCAGTCATCCCAATTTTGTGCTGGTTCATTCCTGCTCATCATGTGTCTAGAGGCAACCTGACAGTACGCTACGGAAGTCGGGCCCGCCCGTTCTGATGGTCACGAAGAAGTCGGCGACCAGCACCGGCCTGACCGCAGTGCCCGAGGAAGACATCATGCCGTTGGATGCCAACCACTCGGGTCTCGTCAGATTTGTGTCCTGGTACGACGATGCGTATGTTGTGGTGAAAGAGCGAATCAAGAGTCTGGTTTTGGGTGCGGCGTCTTAGACCGTGGACCGTAAGTGATCCAGGCTTTCCCGCTAAGGCACGTCAGTACTGTGCTAACCTATATTGAGCTCCCGCAAACCCAATATCTAAGCAGAGAGCTCCGCTGCGTGCTATCCAGCTTGGGTCGACTTTCAAAAGGAATTACACAATTCACAGAGGAAACGTCTCGCAAGGCAACGTAATGAATCTATAAACTACGTCGTGGCCCTGCCAGGCCGGTGCAGCGTGGATCGTAGGGCGATGGCCGCCTTCACAACCAGACGTGGCGCGTTCATGGCGGTTCATCGCCGCGGACCTCCATTACCTACCTTTTCCTAGAACTGATCTGTGTGCTGTCGAGCCTAGTGGACTTAGCAGACACCTGCAATCTGGTCATCATGGGCTAGTGCAGCGTGGCCCCCAGCAAGCGTCATGTTGCGTATGGTACGGCAGCATGGCGCCACGCGACGGAGGAGACCCTCTGTACCGCGAGGTATCACTTCGGAGACCAGCGGGCCCGGGTACTTTACTGTTCGTCTAATGTACGCCACAGAAATGTAACAAACGGCGAATGCACTGACCGTGCCACTTTGTGGCCGACTCGCGCCGACACCTCTCTCCGAGCCGCTCCCGTCACCCCAACGTACAAGCAACCATACGTCAACCCGGCCTCGAAGTTCACATCCCAGTCACGCCCCAGGTTCATGACCTTGCCCAGCTTCGAAAGGAGCGGGGCAGGCCCGCAAAGCTTTCCGTCCTCCTTGAGGCGCGGGACGGCCCAGAGCTCCGCCTACTACGCTACGCGCTCGGGCGATCCACCTGCGGAGTCAAAGACCGCTGTCGGAGGCTGTTGTCGTTAGAGCGTTGCACACACACAGATAGAAAAGTAGGTGCTAATTTGGTATAAAACCTCGCTGGCTTTAGCGGCTATTGTCAGGTGGTAGTTTGCGTAACGGGCGGGCTGGGTTTCTCCTGTGTTCGTTCCGATGACGGTTGTGGCGACAGAAAGCAACGTCAGTACAAGACTAGCATAATAAATAGGTAACAGCCTGACTACCCGCCGACCCTCAGTAGATATGAGCCGCGGTACTTCCAGAGACCCCATATCCATTACTGCCGAGAAGAGAAGCCTTTTCTAGTCTAGGAAGTTTCCTTTTCTTAGGAGTAACAGTGCATCCCTAGGCGTAATATCTGCTCACCTATGCAACTCCAATAGAAGACATCTCGACTAAACGTGTCCTTAAAATGACTTCTCGGGGCCATATCTCTCACACATATAACTTACCTTCGACTTAAGAGCGTCATCACCCGAACTGCAAAGAAAAAGGGCGTTTATCCAACGAGCAGACACAAACAAGCCGTTATGGGGATATGATGATTCGCTACAATAAAAAGGCCCAAGAAATGTCTACGGTAGAAAGACGTCTACATGGAGCCTGGAAACGGCTACCCAGAATCAAGCTGTGCGTATCTTAATGAATTGGCTGTAGCTGAAAAATGAACTCTTTTGATCAGGCGGGTGACCTTAGTGCAGTAACCAGCTATAACAAGCTATCGCCCCGTCGCTAATCGCACAAAGCCTTATATCGGTGCAACCAATGCGATTCGGTTCATGACGTTTCTATGAGTAATTTGTCTACGATGCAGGCTGGCCAAATACCCTTCCGATTGGCTTTTCTCCAGGCATAGCCACCACAGCTAGCTCGAAGCCGAGACAAGAGTTGAGCAGAGAAGACCCTAGATGGTGGAAAACACAGCTCCGATCCCGAGCGCAGGGGAGTTGGACGACTTGGAAGCAGGGCAGACGCCTAGGGCGGTCGGCGATTCATCTATGTGCAGCGCCAGGGCACCACTGCAAGCTCTAGGCGGCAGAGAGAGTGAGTACATTGGACAGGCCAATGGGTTAGGGTTCTCGCCCAGAAATTCCTTCGCCGTTCTCACGTGCTCTTGATCTTCCAACTGCTTCCACACCTTTCCCCCGCGATTCCATTTATATTCGTCCTCTTCGTCTCCGAAACACAAGGCGTTCTTCCGGGCCCGTAGGATCGAGGTTGAGGCGCGCTTGGCGTGCTTAAGCCTTCTTTTCTTGGAATCTGGCAAGACATCGGCTGAACCGCCTTCTTTGGCTTTCCCGGGAGGTGGATTCGATCAGCGAGTTGGGAGTGGTGAGATAAATAACCCCGACAGGACTACAGCCAACAGTGGCTGTTGAACTTGCTTCGGAGGCAGCGATATTGCTGCTCTCAGGAGTATGAAAGTCCGTGGCATGGTGACTGGTTATGCCTTTGTTATCCTTCGGGGGGAGACTGCCGGGAAGATCGGTCGCTGGAGTATTCTCATGCATGCTTGGGCATCGGACGATGAGAGTGGAGTCGGGCTGGACGTCGTGACTCAGGCAGGCGACACCTGCAGTGTGAACAACATCGATCGGACGATGGTAGTTGCTGCTAGGCGAATCGACACTGGGCTGAACATCGCCTGGATGCAAAGGCTTGATGCCCCGGGCAGCGTCTCGAAAAGGGACGAGATCTGGATTGGTGATCATGAAGATATCGTCCCTACGCCCGACGCCAGAGGGAAATCTACCGCTCATTTTGTCGCAGGCCGGTTCGTCAGCGGCCCACTGGTCCAAGGAGCCAAAACCATCGTCATCGAGGGAAGCGCACTCACAGTTGAAGATGCCGTGACCGATGGGATCCCCCCTTGATACCTGCGAGCGCGCCCTGGCCATCCTAGGGCTCGTCCTTGCTGTACTAGGGGTTTGTTTAGCGAGCCAATGGTACCATGATCTTGAAACAGATCTCCTCGTCGGCCGACAAACCGCATGAGCACTGCCACTTGGTCCTATCCATAATAAGAAATGACGAGATGTGGGATCTCGATGTGCTTGACCGCACATAGTGACCCTCCGTCTGGCTCCGAGGGTACACTGCGAGCTATCTCGAGGACGAACTTGAGCTTATGTGTTGTGCCGCATGGTATCTGGGTACGCCTGTAGTCACAAGATTCATCGGTTTGTAATGGAAACAGCCGCCCGTCCGCCTCTCCTGTCCAGCTTCAAATCCATCGGGCTTGTTTTCGGATCCAGGGCAACATCGGAAGACGTCCAGGTGTAACTCGCACAGGCCTCAGCAAGATGACCGTCAAGCTTTGGACATTAACCAACAAAGACTCCCCTTTCGTCCCCTTGCAATTCTCGCTTACCTCCCCATATCGGTAACATCTCACCCCCCCCTGCGGACCACCCCCCCACGGACCACTCCACACCACACCACTCTCATTCAGATGAAGCCATCTACAACCACCACAGTTGCTAAATACACTAAGGTCGTGGTGTTCTAACCATAATACAGCTCCCAGAATCCGATTCCGACCCTAAATCTTCACCAGGGACCTCTTATGGGACCTCTTCGCCTGCAGCGGAGTCCCTATAGACCCTCCTGTTCCTCAGCTCCATTTTGGCCTCCCTTATGTTAGCCATTGTGATGAATCGTTCCCCTGGTGTTGGTTTGACTGCTTTTCGAGTGGTATTAGCCTTTTTAGCTACTTGAGCCTCAAGCAGCTCACATTTGGCCCGTAGATTTGTAATGGTAGCAGCCTGAACATCCATGGCCTTGCCAGCCTTCCGCACCAACAAGCGCTTAGAGGGCCCCCCAAAGGAAGGGTCCTTTCTTTCGAGCTTTCGAGCACTCTCCCGCAAAGCCCGGCTTCCAGAGGGTGTTGTGATAATGGTTTTAGCTACCATCTTGAGAAAATCTGGTGTTGTGGCTCGCTCGGAAGCCTTAGGGTCCCTCTGGCGTGCCCTGGCCACCCCCTTATCCTCCAGAATCACATATTTCGACTTCAATGCCTCCGCTCTGTTGCGAGGAACAATCCCAGTCTTTTTCCAGGCAATTCTGATGTTGAGCGTCATTGTGTCCTTCCGGGCCTGCTCGTAGCACTCCAAAACCTCCTCCTTAGATGGCCTGAGTCCCAGACAGCCGCTGGGCGTCTCCTGGAGTAAGGTCTTCAACCTTTTCTTCACTAAATTGAAGACTCCCACATCTAACACCTGGACTACATGGGAGCAATGAGGTTCATAAAAGATCAACCATACTTTGTTTCTTAAGCAGGTGGCTAAGAACTCGTCATTCGTATGAGAGTCGTGGCCATCACACACCAAAACCACCCATATGTTGCCGTGGACCTCCCGAATATGAGGAATAAAGATACATTGAAGCCATTCTAACGCAATGGGATTCGAGGTCCATCCATTGGGCGACGTAATAAACCTCTAGTTGGTGAATTTGCCCTCATTTTGGTTGCTAAATTACTGGGCTTGTACATTAATCCTTTTGAGAATCACCAGCAGCGGCAAGGTCTCACCAGATCCGCTCACACACTCTAGGGCAGTTATCCATTCACCCTTCTCGACCCCTTTCTTCATAGCCACGTTGCCGGAGGCCTCGGAGACCACCCAATGGGAGTCCCCAACCCCCTGGGCGATTCCCATTTCGTCGACGTTGTACCAGCGTGCTGGCATGAGGTTAGCCACGTCAAGGGCGTCACACCGATCGAAAAAAATGTTGATATTTGCCGCTGTAGCACTATTCACTCGGTTGTAGTCGATAACACGAGACTTCATTATCTTGACTTCTGGGTTTTGAGACAGGAACTTGGATGCCCAATTTTTCCCTAATTCTGGAGCATCCCCGGTGGCATGGAGCATCCGCTAGGCCATGAGACGGAACTTAGAGACCGCCAGAGAATACCCTAGCCGTGCTTGCCCCAGGGCCCAGCTTGCCAGCTTATGTTCGAGATACGGTGAGAGAGCCTGTTGGAGAGCGCTGGTCTCATTCCGCGTTGGGGTGCCAGAGATTCGTCGGTTGACGTACGAGCGACTGATTTGCCATTCGAGGGCTGACGAGCGGACTGGAGCTCCGTGTTGGATGGCCAAAATGGCGGCTTCAGCTTTTATTTGACAGTCGTAAAATAACATCATGAGATCCAGCAGTGGATAAGGATTCAAATAGTGTGCTTTGTGAAAAAAAAGATGCAAAAGTGATGGTGTAGATGGTGGATCACCATAATCCTGGTGGTTGGTGAATTACGCGTTTGTGGGTCAGAACGCGCTGGTCCGCGGGGGGTGGTCCGCAGGGGGGTGGTCGATGTTAGCATACAACGGGGTTGGCAGCATCTACATCTCCTGCATTTGGGTTGTTGCAAACCGTGAAGACCTTGGTATAGTCACCGAAAAGCTCTCTCCATGGATGCCCTAAAAGGAGCTTTCGCAGACGGGACGTCGTGGGAACGTAGCCACTATCTGAATCATGATACCAATGTCCGATAGATATTATGGGCACTGCTAAGCCACCGTAAGAAGGCTGTCGGGAGACAGTCTCAGGGACAAGCTCTGCTGTCATGTAGTCAGATTCTCATACTGAAGGCGGAGCAAGATAGATGTACCAGGCGATGCCGAAACTGTCCAAGCACTTATCGTGGTGCTGTTGTCCGAAGAGAAAATCGTCTGCGGAATAGCTCAAGGGCATGAGAAGGACCATGGGTGTAACAAGTAGAAGACCAGGAGGGAAGCAGAAGGGAAACGGCCGTTGGGGCTATTCTAGAATAGGAAACTTGAACCCCTTATCTCGCATGGGGACGGTCATGCTTGCTTAATGGCCCCAAGTTGTATAGGCTAACTCAGCTCAGAGCGAATCTGTTGTTCCAAAGAGAAGTGTCAAGGAGACATGTGTGGGATAATATCTAGGAAAACATTCACCTTGTTGAAGCCCCTGGTGTCACCCTGGCAGCTTTATCCTTGTGCCGTCGCGGCGGTGCTACTAAGTGCGCGGGTTCGTGTCTCTTATCCGCTAGGTCCGGAACCATCCTACTAGGAGTCTGTCTCAAATCTCAAGTTTGCGGTGGCGTACACGAGGTCAGCTTTTGAGTTTCATGGGCCTGTAGCAACCTGACGCCGCAGGGCAGCAATGGGCTTATCGAGTTGCCGCAGATCCTCCAGATGCCTTGCAAGGAAATTGGCCATTAGGGTCCCACGGAGGCCACGCCGGGTCTAGAGTGCCACGTGTCATGTGTTACCCTTTTCCTATTTCCCCCCTTCAGCTTGGGAACACTGGACCGGCTTCTCGAGGGTAGCTTCGACTGCCTGTGCAGTCAGATTATCGTGGACTGCCTATCGGCTTATGCACTGGCCTTCCTCATCTCGAATCTTCTTCGGAGGTTCCGTGTCCTGTTCCTCATCAACCTACACACACTCTTACCAAAAACAACTATTTTTCTTGGCGCCCCGCTGTTAGGGCGCAACCTCTATATCTGCACTAAAGCAGGCATTTGTCTCAGTACCTGACTATCCTTGCCAAGGCGCAGAAAAATTTTCTCACAAGCTGGATGGCACCCTTTCATGACAGGCCCCCAAACACGCCAGTGGCCGTCCCAAAGACGACTACTGGCGGTGTGTTCAAATCCCCAGTCCCTAAAAGAATACATGACCCGGCAACCCCAAGCAGGCTCCGCCAGGCACTGCTCGACGACATCAACAGCAGCCCGTCACAGGTCTCTGAGGCTGACTTCACCATTGTTTCCCCTCTGAAAGGAAAATCCCGAAATATTATTAATAGCAGCACCATTGATATGGAATTACCTCAGTCAAGCGAAATCCCTACAGACCAAGCCATTGGAGGTGATACAGGGAACAAAGTCTCCTCTTCAGAGTGCCAGGACCAAGTTGCCAAAATACTGGCTAAAGACAAACATCTCTATGAAGCCAAAATAACAATGTTTTAGGAGTGTGCTGCAGCAGTCGATAAGACACTTGAGAAAGCTGGAACCGAACAATACTCTCATGCCAAGGAGTTCAGCGCTTTCTTCTCCAAATGTCTGAATGAGTGGCTGGAAACCCGAGATCTGACCACAAGAAAGGCCACTTCTGGGGGGATAGAAATAGGGAAGCCCACCATGACCTTCGCCCAAGCTGTCTCCTCTGGCCAACGACAGCATCCATGGATAGTCAACACTACCATAAAAAAAACACAGCCTAGTGCCCTTATTACTATCAACCAATTAAAGAGGAAACAGGATGATCTCTGGGTTTTTGTCCGCATGGATAATAGCCACCTTGAGCCTTATGGAATCAAGTCTACACTAAACAGAAGACTTAAGCTCCACCCTCAGGAGCTTAGAGAAGTGACACGGTGTCCTTCTGGATTTACCTTATACCCAAGGGACAAGCCAACTCAGGCTAAGCTTCTGGCTTTCCAAGAAGAAATTGCCAACATTCTCAAGGCACAAAAGATTGAGACCCACACAGTCTGGCATCATTACAAGGTCGATGGATGCCCAAGAAAGGTCATCAGTGCAGAAGGGTTCATAATCGATATTACTGACACTGTTGTTACCGATGAAGTTGAAGCCCAAACAGGCGACAGACCTCTGAGGTGCATACTCTCAAAGAACACGACTGATTCTGATCTAGAAACCACGTGGATAATCTCTCTGCCCAGTGCAGCAAGGAAACCATTCACGCTTTTTACCCACTCAATGACCTCAAGGCATATTCAACACACCCCCAAGGTTCACCAGTGTGCAAGCTGCTTCAGATACCATGATAGGAATTACCGATGCGAAAAGCAAGTATGTGCACACTGCGCCAACACAGTACACCAGGGAGAGTGCGAAAAACCAATCCCAAAGTGTGTCAACTGCAAAGGACCTCATGCTGCCAATTTCAATAAATAC